AATGCTACTGTCCACTCACAAACAGGTTCTTTCATTCTATGGATGTCACATTCTTCGAGCACCAATCATTCTACACCAATTCCTCTATTCAGGGGGAGAATAGAATGATGGAATCTCATAATTGGGATTGGGATTCTCTGCTAAAAAATGATTCAGGGAGTTCCAGAATTCCAATCCTAAGTGCCTCAGCTCCACCAGCAGAAACAATACAACCCCTCTTCACTGAGTCAGCCTCTCCTCTCCTCATTGAGTCAACCGAGCCTCTTCGTGTCAACCCTGAAACCCAAACTGGTCAAGAAAAAGGTTCCAGCCCTGTCCTAAATGAACCCAGACCTAGTCAAACTGCAACAGAAAAGGACTTTAGTGTCTACTCAAGGAGAAAACGTCCTCAGCTGCAACCTGCACAAACTCAGCATAACCAAGACTCTTCCTCGGCTCCAACCTCCATTGAAAATACTCAAGGTAAGGCTGAAATTACTTTTGTTCCTGTGCCTGATCCGGTTGTAGATCTTAATTCAGACCTGGATGTTCCAATTGCAATACGAAAAGGAGTTTTACCATGTACACAACACCCTCTTCGCAATCATATGTCTTATGCAAAGTTGTCTCCAACCTACAGAGCGTTTGTGTCCAAGCTAGACCAGGTCCGGATACCCAATTCCATCCATGAAGCTTTACAAATACCCGAATGGAAGGCAGCCACCCTGGATGAAATAAGAGCACTTGAGAAGAATGAGACATAGACGATTACTACTCTACCTCCGGGTAAGCATGCTGTTGGGTGTAAATGGATATTCTCAGTAAAACACAAGGCAGATGGCAGTGTGGAAAGGCTCAAGACTCGCCTTGTGGCAAAAGGGTTCACTTAGTCATATGGAATAGACTACCTAGAAACATTTGCTCCAGTAGCCAAACTTAACACCATCCGAGTCCTCATCTCCATTGCAGTAAACCAAGATTGGCCTCTACTTCAACTCGATGTAAAAAATGCGTTCCTAAATGGAGACCTCGAGGAAGAAGTTTACATGGTGATACCTCCAGGTTTCGAAGATAATTCCACTGCCAACAAAGTCTGCAAACTCAGAAAATCCTTGTATGGCCTCAAACAGTCTCCTCGGGCATGGTTTGACAGATTCACTAGAGTCCTCAAGAAGGATGGATATGTTCAGTGCCAAGCCGACCATACATTGTTCATCAAACATGCTGCCGATGGAAGACTCACTGCACTTATTGTGTACGTCGATGACATAGTCCTCACAAGTAATCCTTGGGAAGAAATGGAGTGCCTAAAGAAGCTGCTCTCAAGAGAATTCGAAATCAAAGACCTTGGACACCTGAAGTATTTCCTTGGAATGGAAGTGGCTAGATCAAGCCGAGGTATCTCAATGTCACAACGAAAATATGTTTTGGACCTACTAAAGGAGATAGGAATGGTAGGGTGTAAACCAATTGACACTCCTATGGATCCAAATGTAAAATTAGGAGTGCGAACAGGTGGTACAGCAGTGGACAAAGGCAGATATCAACGTCTGGTAGGAAAACTAATCTACCTTGCTCATACTCGCCCAGATATAGGTTTCTCAGTAAGTGTGGTTAGTCAATTCATGAATAACCCTTCAGAAGAACACATGGAGGCGGTGTATCGAATCCTAAGATATCTCAAGAGAGACCCAGGCAAAGGATTGTTATTCGGAAAAACCACAAACAGGACCATTGAAGTTTTCACAGATGCCGATTGGGCAGGATCATCTATGGATCAAAGATCCACTTCAGGTTACTGTTCATTCGTTTGGGGAAACTTAGTGACTTGGCGAAGCAAGAAGCAGCCAGTCATTGCCCGCAGCAGTGCAGAGGCTGAGTTTAGAGCATTGGCGCATGGGATATGTGAAGGAATGTGGCTAAAAAGGCTGCTGCAAGAACTTAAAGTTAAGGCAGAAGATCCTATCGACATGAGGTGTGATAGTCAATCAGCTATAGCTATAGCTATAGCAAAGAACCCAGTCCATCATGATCGGACCAAGCATGTTGAAATAGATCGTCACTTTATCAGTGAGAAGATTGAAGGCAAAATAATCTCACTCAACTACGTTCCTACACGGCATCAAACCGCAGACATCCTAACAAAGGCACTCCACAGAACTAACTTCCAAGAACTATGTTCCAAGCTAGGCATGTTAAGTTTATACAGCCCAGCTTGAGGGGGAGTGTAGAAAATCTTCTAGAAGTTAGTTGTATTGCTATCATTAAAGTAACCGTGTAAAGTAGATCTAATTCTTAGGCAGATTCTTTTCCTAGTTTTCAGGGATCTTAACAACCTGAGATCTCTTTTCTGTGTATATAAATATTCGGCCAATAAATGAGAAATACAATCCTTCTCTTCCAAAATATTCTACAGAAATACCCAGCCGTCGGGGTTGTCACCACTAAAGATTGGGCACTCCACTTGCCGCCGTCAGAAAGTCGCCCATTCCTCATTCACCGGTAATTCCTCCAAAACGCCTATGCCCTCCCAACCATCTCTGAATCGTACTCCAACGTTAGGGTTTCTTCCTCTTTCCACTCCTCGGTGAACAGGACCGCCCAATCTAGCCCGCCGTTCGTCAAACTCCAGAGCCTCCCCTTCCACGAAAACACATCGCCCCTCACCCCGACGTCCGTACCAATTTTTCCCTTGGGTACCCATCGGAACCTCCCTAACAAACCTGCGCACCTCCTCTCTCTCTTCGCGACATGGATTCTGCGGAATCCTAAGATATGCCGCTCGATCTACGTCCTACTCACGCAAACCGGTGCCTTCCGCTGAAAAAACCATGTTCTGCGAAACCTTAGGGTCCGCCGATCATTCTTCCTACCGCGCGCGCCACCCAGAAGTTTCCGCCAAGTGCGATTCCACAACTCCAACACAATTCACCTCGCGATCTTCTTCGACCACTGTCGTCGAAGCTTCTGTCTTCTCCGGTGCCGGTGCCGAGAAAAGCTTCGTCTGTTCTTCCATCAGTCGGCGGATCTCAGTCAAATTCTGAGTTAATTCTGCCCTAACCTCCCCGATCCCTTTCTCCATCTCACCGATTCCTTTTTCCATCGAAGCCCTAACTTCCTTAATCTCCTTCTCCACAGATTCAAACCGTTCATCTATTTTCCTACCCGCCATTATTGCCCAAAATTATTCCTCTGATACCAAAATGATGAAAACAGAGTAATTACTTCCACAGAAATGAATCAAGAAGAATGAAAGTATGATCTTTGTTGAATCTCCAAAATGAATTACAGAGCAGTCCTTAGAGGTACTGCAAAACCTCCCCCGCTTAACCTAAGCCAAGACTTTCTTAACAAGACTCTAGTTATTTTCTGTCTTTCTATTTCCTGCTTCATCCCTATTTATTCTCTTTCCCTCCCCTTCTTTCCGACTAATCCCCTGTACAACCCCTCCTTAACCGACTATTCCCCTATACAACTATCAGCTTTCTAACTACTAACAAACTAACTACTAACTCAGCCCCGCCACCTCTTATTCTCTCTTGCCTTTCCTAACAAAAACTTGCTTAAGCAAAGGCTTATTAGGCTTATTAGGTTTCTATTGAGATCCACTTCCAGATATCTTCATTTCAGTGAATTAGTATATTCTTTCACGTTCATTTTGAAAATGTCTTTGCTTTCATAAAGCCAGTTGTCAGAGTAAGTTTTTTGTTTCTTGGCTTCAGGGAATTAGGAGACCATGGAAAGGTGTTCTTATGTTTGGTCCTCCTGGAACTGGAAAGACATTACTAGCTAAAGCTGTTGCTACGGAGTGTGGCACAACATTTTTCAACGTCTCCTCTGCTACTTTAGCTTCAAAATGGCGTGGAGAGAGTGAGCGCATGGTTCGGTGCTTATTTGATCTTGCACGAGCTTATGCTCCAAGTACAATATTTATAGATGAGATTGATTCTCTCTGCAACGCCCGAGGGTAAGGACTCAAATACATTCTAACATCTGGTTAATAGTTCTATATGATTATAATCTTATGTATTCTAAGGAGTGTTCTACATGTAATAAATTTTATGCATATCTTTTTGGTGTACTTTTATGTGCATGGGAATTTCGATTTTACATCAAGCGTTTTTGCTTGTGTTGAAACTTGAAACCTAATGAAGTAAATTATTTTCTTCAGAGCATCAGGGGAACACGAGTCATCTAGAAGGGTGAAATCTGAGCTTCTAGTTCAGGTAGATGGTGTAAACAATACTTCGACGAATGAAGATGGTAGCCGCAAAATTGTGATGGTTTTGGCAGCTACTAACTTTCCTTGGGATATAGATGAGGCATTAAGGTAGTTTTGGTTTTTCTATTTGGAGTTGAGGCATCATCGCTGATGTTGCATTAGATTGGATGCTGAACTAGATCTCATTTCCACTTTTCTCTGATTGGTGGCAATCCAATTTCAGGAGGAGGCTTGAAAAGAGAATTTATATTCCTCTTCCAAATTTTGAGAGCCGAAAAGAGCTTATTCGGATCAACTTGAAAACTGTTGAGGTAAATAGAGAACATATAAGAGACTGCGTGTGTGTGTGTATAAGAAATTTAAATGGTTGTTTTCCTTCATAGAGAACATTTAGGATGTCATCATTTTATATATAATTTTTCTTTCTAGATATAACCAACTCAGTCTCCATGTGTAGTGATTCTTGAAAATGATTGTATACATCTGTTTCAGGTGGCCCCTGATGTAAATATTGATGAAGTGGCTCGTCGAACCGAGGGATACAGTGGTGACGATCTAACAAACGTTTGTCGAGATGCTTCCTTGAATGGAATGAGGCGTAAAATAGCCGGAAAGACGCGTGATGAGATTAAGAGCATGTCAAAGGATGAGATTTCAAAGGACCCTGTTGCCATGTGCGACTTTGAAGAAGCATTGACGAAGGTCCAAAGAAGTGTTTCTCAAGCTGACATTGAGCGGCATGAGAAATGGTTCTCAGAATTCGGATCGGCATAGAGATGGAGATCAAGCCATAATCAAAATGAAGAGTTTACTTTCCGACCGGTATGGCTTGTTGAATGAGAGTGATAAAGCCATAATCGAAATGAAGATTTACTTTCTGACCGGTCCGGCTTGTTGAATGAGAGTGATCATGTCTACCAATTGTTTCTTGTACTTCAGTTATTGTTTCCTGGCGGAATTGAGTTGATTGTGTAGTTGAAAGTTGTTGGAAAGCTGTATTGTTGTGCAATTTGTATAACATGTCATGTCATCTAATTTTCCTTGCTTGCAAAACTATTGGGTGCGTTTGGAATTGTTTCCAAAATGATTTTATTTTCTGTATGAAAATAGAAATGAAAACGTTTTCATTTTCATTTTGGAATTATTTGTGAAATGCGTTTGGTAGTTTTATTCAGAGATTGATTTCAGTTTTAAAAGAAACTGAAACTGCGTTTTTTTAGTTGCTCCAAAAGAAGTTGGGTATAATTGATACTTTTAGACCTTATTCATTTTACCGATTCAAATTTTTAATTTTAAGTTTTTACAGTAAAAAGCTATCAGAAAATGTTTAATCTAACTTTTTTTGCTACAGTGAAAAGCTCTCAGAAAATGTCACATCTCAACTCGATGTGCAGACGCCGACTGGATGAGCGACGGTGGGCATTCTCCCGCGTCTTCTTCGGCTGGAGAAGAGAGAGAAGGAAAAAAAAAACTGAAATCCGTTTTCAGAAAACGAAAACGTAAAAATGAAAACGTATTTTTTTCGTTTTCAGTTTTTCACAAAAAGACAAAAAAGTTTTTGTTTTCTAACGCAAACTTCACCAAACGCGTTTTTCATTTCTGTTTTTAATTTTTTGCTTCGAAAAACGTGAAAAATGAAAACAAAAACGGTAACAAACAGACCCATTATGTTTTCATTTTCATTTACCATATTAAAATCGCAAGCAATGAATCCGCAACAAGTTTCAGACTCATCTTGAAAGAAGATTCACGCCATACCCTTGTGATTGAATCATGATTCATTATTTTGAGTTCAAATCATGGTTTTGAAATTATGATTCAGAATTGGGAGTTTGAATCATCTTGAATCAATATGGGGGTGGTTTTAGAATCATGAGTAATTTTAGTTTAAAACATCACATCAGATTCTGAATCATGATTCAGAATCATCCAAAGCAAACATTGATTCTGAAGCATAATTAGAATCATGATTCAGAATAATTGTAAACAAATATTGATTCTGAATCAAGATTCAGAATTATGATTCTAGATCCATCTACTAAACGCCTTGAATGTTTCCATTAGTGACCTTTGCGAAATCCTGAACAAATGATTATAAACCATTCTATATTGAACAAATAAAAAATTTTGGTTTCACTTCTCTTTGCCTGGGTAGGTTTGTAAACATCTCCCTAATAAATGAGTATGATGTTATCATATTACCGTCACCTGATCGATGATTTTATCACATTACCATCACCTGATCGCATGAAGCTCTAGCCTAGCATTCAGATTGTATATTTGTTTATTTATTTTTGGCATAAGTACTAGCATTTAGTTTTTAATTTTCAGTGCCTCGAACTCATCTTGCCAACAATTAATAACTAACAATCAACCACCAACTAATTGAAAGGAAATCAACTACAGTACTATTGAAATGCATAATTTTGTAGATATTGGGCTCCAAAAAGTTAATTGAACTTAATTATAAACGTGATTCATTTGAAAAAATTATATATATATATATATATTTATAAATATACAGAAGAAGATAATAAAAGAGAAAAAGAGTTTCAAAAAATTGACAGTTTAAGTTTGAAATTTTTGCATTAATCCCGTCTCCTGAAAAAAAATTTTATAATTTTTTCTGGCTTCGCCACTCAAAATTTGTTTGACGTTCTAATTTTACCGTAAGTAGCTAGTACGTAGTAGGCTAATATGCATCTTCACTGATGATAGCACTTACTTAGTGGAAGATCATTTAAAACTCAATAATTGTGAACAATTACAAGCCGGATTTTTTTTTCTTTTTCTTCTGCTTCAATAGAAACTGAACAAAGCTAAAGGTTAATTCATTTAAAGCTTACTTTAATTTATTATAGCGTTTAGTAACAAATCAAAGTTGGTGGCCAATGTTATTGGAAATATGTAACGAAAGTTACGAAATAAAACAAAATTAGAATTAAAAGCCAATATGAACTTCTTTTGGGAGCAACTCTCAGATTATAAACCATTCCTTTTCTTTTCCACTACTTAATGAACACTAGTTAAGTCATGTGCTATGCATGTGATGAATATCTTTATAAGTTTGATTCCGCATCAAAATAATAACCCCTTAGAAGTTAAGTTCATTAACTGAAGTAAGAGAAAAAATATCTTAAAAAATCATATTAATATTAAAAAAAAATTAAAGTTATATAAGAATTTTTGATAAACAAGAAAAAACTTAAGTATGGAGATAATTAAAAGAAATTTTTGGTTTTTTGGCATGAGATCCGCCTCAATTTTTCACGTTTAATAAATTGATTCTTTTTCTTTTTTTTTGACAATCGGCTCCTGCAACTTTGAAATCTGTTGCACCGTTAATCCTTTTGATCATTTCCGTTAAAATTTGGACGGTTTTTTTGTCACATATTTGCATGCGACTCTCTTCTAGGGGCATTGGTGGTCTTTTAAGTTCAATAAGACCAAAAAAAAAAAACGATGAACAACCCTGTAGATCCCAGATTTCTCGCGATTCACACAACAAAAGGCTTCAAATTGTTTTTTTTTTTTTTTAAAAGCTTCAAATTTCAAGCACAGAATTATTAAAACCCAACATTAATTTTGCATGACTTGCACATATGATTCAAAACAAAAAATAAATAAATAAATAGACAGGGAACTTAGCGAAGAAGAACAAAGAATACAAAAGCCAGAACATCGCTTTCATTCGCTCCACGTAAATATATATTTATGTATGTATTTATATATGCTGTGCTTGTCCTTATGTTTCACAAATCGTAGTTAAGTTGGCCTTGTAATTATTGGTAAGGAAGTTTGAGTCTTGTAGCTCCGTTTCTTCTGAATTTTATATGTTCAAGTCCTTGTGTGTGCGTGCGTGTGTGAATTTTATCGTAATTACAGAAGCTTATTCTTTGTTATTATGAACAGAAAAGCTGGTTGAAGAGCAAAGAAATTTTGATGCTGTGATTTCTTTAGAGGTGTGTTCTCCTTCCCAGGTTAATTGAGATTATGATTTACTTATGAAATTGAACTTCTTGTGCTGCGCTGTGAGTTACCCAATGCCATCTTAAATTAGAATCCAATTTGTTCTGTAAATTAAATTGTACTTAAGGTGATTGAGCACGTAGCAGATCCTGCTGAATTCTGCAAGTCTCTGGCCGCATTAACCGTTGCTAATGGAGCTACTGTGATTTCAACCATTAACCGATCTATGAGAGCTTATGCTACCGCCATCGTCGCTGCCGAGTATATACTCCATTGGGTATTCAATCTCTCTCTATTACAGCTCATTATCTGTTGCTTCTTACCATTTAGCATGCCATTGATTCTCTTCACATGACATTCACCGTCCATGAAGATCTCCAGTTGTGCAATTGTGCTCAAGTGTTTATGATAGAAATCAAAGACAGACTTGACGGGTGAAAAAGAAAAAAAGCATACGAAGAATTCATATGAAATTTGTATCTATATTAATATGGAGTTAAATTTTACAGCTTCCCAAAGGTACGCATCAGTGGTCAAGTTTTCTAACTTCTGAAGAACTGGTCTTGATCTTTTGAAGACAGGAAGATGGTCTCTTTCTGATGACATCAGTGTAAATTTCATTGCATATGGTAACAAAACAACCTCCGAATAAATATCTGAAGAATTTTGCTATTGATTTTTTCTTTTGTTTCTGAATATGTGAAATGTTTCGATTAAAGAGATTATTCTACAACCTGTTGTTCATCTACTTTTTTTTTTTTTTTTTTTGATAAGCATGTTCATCTACATTTTTCCCGTCTAAAAGGCACAATCGTCTTTGTTTCGCAAAACAAACGTTTATCATTCATATAAATAACATTGAAATGAGGATTTTGTTTTTCTTTTTAAAGAATGATTGAATTGTATGAACAGACAGACACAGAGCGTAACATAATTAAATTGTATGAACAGACACGCAGAATGTAACGTGATCGAATTATCCTTAGAAATTGAGATTGATAAAGAAAACGGAATATTACATCACCCGTTATTCTATCAATAATTAGTTGAATGTTTAGTTGAATGCTTATGCTATGGTTTTTTGAACTCCTTGTCCATCAATAACCCATGTCCGTCAATAACTAATTAGAATTATGCTTCATTTTGTTAAATTGTATTAACTAAGAATTTGTTTCACTTGGCATATGACTATAGTATTAACAGGGGCTAAAGTTATATTTTTCAGGGAACATATCATAGTAGATGCCAAAAGTTATCATATTTAAGCTTGTCATAATATATTATTACATAAAAATATCAAATATTATATTTTTTACAATTGAAATATAGTTTTTAAATTATTATCCTTCAAATAAAAAGTTTTTTCAATAATTAAATTATTTTTTTACTATTTTAATTAATTAAAATATTAAATTATTTTGGATTATTAATCAAGGGCATTTTTGTCAAAATACAGTTTATTTCCATTCCAGTCTGTTATCAACCAAACAACATAATCCTCATTCAGGTATTGATTCCATAGCTCCAATCAAACAAAAGAATCAGTTTATGATTCCAGCACATTTCAATTCCATTCCCATTACCATTCCTATTACCATTCTGTCACTACAACCAAACGCAGCCTGAGTTCTTTTATGTATGCAATGTAAAGATTTTGACCACAACTTCAAGGACCAAACTACCCTTAACTAAGATATTATTGTTCACCTATTTTTTTCTTGATTAATTCAAACATGTGTTAAAATTCTCTATCTCGCTCTCTCTAATATTATTTTTTCTCTCCCCATCGTTTCCTTCTTTCTCTCCCTGCCATTTCCTCTCTCTCCTCGCCCCTCTCTCTAACACTTCTTTATGTCGTCGTCATGGAAGCTCGCCGTCGCCATCGTGTTAAAAGCTCATTATCCTTTGATGTAATCGTTCTGTCACGACCTTAAAAATGAGACTGTGATTATTAAGGTTTAATTTAAAATTTAACTTAATTAAACTGAATTAATTAAGAAAAATTCATGAAAATAAAATAAAATATACAAATACCAAAATAAATATTAAAAGATATTACTCCATAGTCTTTCTTTTATAAAAAAAATATTTAAAACAGTCCATAAAATTTAAAATAATACAACTCTGAGACAGTGTCGACCAATACAATTTATATACATGAATACAATACATCTCAGAATTAAAACTATAAATCCAAAACAAACGTACAGTTTCGAATCTCGCGCCTTCAATCCATTGGCATCCACTTGTCACGTTGTAAATGTAAACCGCTAACTCTGGGGGAGGTTTAAAACATTAAAAACATAATAGTAAAAGTGAGCGGAAGGCCCAGTAGGATATAATTTTATAAAACATTGTAAATAAAGGTACTCACGGTCCAAAGATATACACCCGAAACTGATCATCTTTTTTAGAAAAAGAAATACTCACGTAGTAGTAGAAAAGTATCTGTATAATGAAAATATGCAGAGCCATAACACCACTGAACAAGAAGTGGATCCGTATGGGTTTCGGGACCTGTCCCCAAGGATACGATTCCCATATCCTGATCTCTGAGGCCACCATGTGTTGTATCATTTCTTAAAATATTTCATTTTAAGAAATGATACTCATTAAAATCTCATTCCCAAAATCATTGGAAACTTAATAGTATTATTCATGATATTCCTTTAAAATCATTTTCTTTAAACATGTTTTGTTCTAAAATATTTTCGTTGGCCAAAATTATTTAAAGTAAGGCTAACAAGGATATGGACAAGAATATCCTACCTCTCGGATGTCAAACCTGTGGCTAACTTCTCATCACCCTAACATTTGTTTTCCTTAAAGCTTTAATACTTAATCTTCTCTACTAGCTTTATCACAAAAGTAATGTCTTAGGATATATTTCTCATTCCTAAAACGAATTAAGTTCAATCATGTTTAATTGTTTCCTATTAGTGTGCCTTAACTCAAATCCAAGTTTCACAAACGATTTTATAATCAATTTGGGTATTCTTTAAAAATTGAAATCCAATTCATGGGTTTGGTTTCCTATTTAATTTCAGCTTAAAAATAAGTTTTTAAAGAAATTTCAGCAGCATACCGACATAAATAGAAAAAATGCCAAACCTGCAATTCATGTTTAATTTCAAAATAAATTCTTCAGAAATCATCAAAATCAGTTTCCAATCAATTCAACAAATCCAATAACTGAAAATCCTCAAATTTAATTCAATTCTAACAATAATTGTTGAAATCTAAATCCTAACTCAAAATTATTTAAACCTAACCAAAATTTTAAATTTTCAAATCAATAACTCAAATTTAAGTATGGGTTTTCAAGAAATCTTTATCTTAAAGTGATTGAAGCTCGTTTTCCTTTTATTTTGATCATTTTTGTTTTTTTTTTCCTCTTCCCTGTTTGGCAGGGACTCCAAGAGAGAGAGAGAGAAACCCAGAGAGAGAGAGAGAGAGAGCAAGGGAGAGAGAAAGGCCAGCGGGAGAGAGAGAAAGGCCGGCGGGAGAGAGGGAAAGGCCGGCGGGAGAGAGAGAGCTCGGAGGAAGTGGCCAGCAGTGGGTGAAGGAGGAGAGAGAGAGGGTGCTGTTGTGGTGAAGAAAAGAGAGAGAGAAGAAAAGAAAGAAAGGAAAAGAGAGAGAGAGATGGGTCTGAGGTAGGGCTGTAAGAAATCACTCTGAACCCGACGATCCCGGCCGAGCCGAGCCGATCCTACTAAAAAATTACAGGGCCCATTTGTTTGCGTTTTCGTTTTCGTTTTTCACGGTTTTCAAAGCAAAAAAATGAAAACGGGTGTTAAAAACGTGTTTGGTGCAATTTTTTTTAAAAAACAAAATCAAAAACGTTTTTGTCTTTTTGTGGAAATCAGAAAACGAAAAAAAGGTGTTTTTATTTTCTTGTTTTCGTTTTCTGTTTTCTGAAAAACGGATTTCACTTTTTTTTTTCTTTTTCATTTTCTTCCTTCTTTTCTGAAACCGTTTTTGTATTATATATGTTTATTTAATATATTTATTTAATATATTATTATTTAATATATTTAATAATATTATTTATATAATATATTTAATAATATTATTTATTTAATATATTTAATAATATTATTTATTTAATATATTATTACATGTTTTCAAAAATTAAACCACCAAACGCAGTTTCAGTTTTTTTTAAAACTGAAATCAATCTCTAAATAAAACTACCAAACGCATTTTTAGAAATAATTCAAAAATGAAAGTAAAAACGTTTTCATTTTCATTTTCGTACAGAAAATAAAAACGTTTTGGAACCAATTCCAAACGCACCCACAGGTTTCCAATTTTTTATTTAATTTTCGGTTTGAATTATACCCAACCCGCACTGTGCGGGTAGGGGCGCGGGAAGGGGTTCCATGAACTCGAGGTACCCCTACCCGGCCGAACATGTTCAAAAAGTAGGTTAAACAATGCCTAACCCTAATGATAATAAGTTTAAAAATCTTCCGAACACAACATAAAAGGTTGAGTCTTTAGGTAATTCTTGTTGATTCTTAATTCTTGTTCAGGATGAGTCTATCAAAATTGAGTCTTAGATGAGGTAAGTAACAAAAATAAGTTAAAAAAGGGTTTTTTTAACCCAAAAAAAACTCATAATTTACCCTAGGTAACCCAGCCGACCTAAGGTACCCGAATGGTATACGAGTATCCTAATTCTATAAGTTGTGGCGGCCTAAATAATTCCCAGCCCGAGACCTGCGGGCCGGCCTAAATTTTCTTCAAAGCCGACCCACCCTGGCCGACTTACAAGCCTAGTATGAGGGAACGCACGGGAAGGAAAAGGAAGGAAAAGAAAAAAGAAGAAAATGTAGTTGAGATTTGAACTGTTTATGCAAAATCATTAGCAAATATGGCTTTTTTTTGTTGTTTAGGAATTGTAAGTAAATTCTACTTGAAATTTTGGCCTTTTTTTATGATCCTATTTGAAATATCGATTGTGTTTTTTTATTTAAAATAAGAATAATTTGTCAAGATTATGAAAAATAATATTACATATTATAAAACATAATTTGATAAAGTATGATCAGCGGCTCTGACGCCGGAGTTGGAGATAACATTTTATTTTTTGGTTGAAAATAGGAAAATAAATTACGATGACAATCAGACACCGACGACCAACATTATGACAGACTACGACGACGACGACAACAATCAGACACCGATAACCAACTGTCGGTGTAATCTGACAGATTATGAATCATAATCTATGAGACTACTAATTATAATATGACAAATTAAGACCAATGTCGGCAATTGAAGACCGGCGACATCTTGTAATTTCTTAATGGACCATTAATGGTAATTTTAGTATCTATTTATTGTACCTTTAACTAGTTATTATAGTCTAAAAAGTAGAAATTTAAGGGGTAATATTAATCTAGGAGGCCACTATTTTAAGGATATTTTTAAAAATTTCTCTTAATATTCCATATGGCCTATCTTTTTTATATTTTCTTCTTTCTGAAATTCGGTGTCAATTTTACTTAAATGCATACTATTTATTTATAAAAGAGTTATCTAAAATGTTTGATCGTATGGTTTGTATGTCGTTTCTCCATTTTCTTGTTCCATAAAAAATGACGCATGCTAAACCATTTTGCTGTCATTTGTCACCTAAACGACGTATCATTTACACTTCAGTGGCCATTTCTTTTCTTAGGAAAATGTAGTGAATAAATAAATTTATAAAACTAAATTAAGTAAATAACATATTTTAAAACTATTTAAAATAAATAATAATTTATTATGTAAATGTTTCGTAACTAATAAAAAGACTTTTTTCACATAAAATAAAAGATATTTTATCAGGTAAATTTGTTTTACTAATGGTAAATGAAGTTTACTACTAGTGGTGCAAATTCGGGCGGCGGGTATGCCCAGTGCCCGAAAATTTTTGGGCACGGCAGGCAGGTGCCATTCGCCGCCTGTCCAGGGTATTTTTCGGGCACGGGCAGCCCGAAAATATTCATTCCCCCAACTACCCGTTGCCGTGTTAAAGTCGCCCCCCCCCCCCGTCCGCCGGATTTTTTTTGAATTTTCCGGCGTAACCCGAATTTGCCCGAATTTTACCCGAATTTTTTAGACCGTTGCCCAAATTTTGCCCATTGCCTGAATGTTTTTTACCGTTAGCCCGAAATCCGCCCGAATTTTGAACCCAACGGATCTTTTTGTCCAAACCCGACCCGCGCACCCGATTTATGCCCGAAAATTTGAACCCCAACGACTATATTTTTTACCGTTGCTCGAACCACCCGAATCCTGCTCGACCTACCCGATTGCCTGAAAATGTTACCAGCCGTTGGACCCAAATTTTTGGGCGAAAAAAAAGATTTTTCAAGCAAAAAATTTTCCTATAAATACCCCCCTCCCCCCAACCGTTTTCCTCACCCAAAAACTCTCATTCTCTTTCAATTTCTTTCAATTTCTCTTAATCTCTCTTAATTTCTCTCAAATCTCTCTCAAATATATCTTAATCTCACTTAAATCTCTCTCGATCTCTCTTAAAGCACTCTTAATCTCTCTTATTTTTCATAATGGCTTCTTCTGGTTATGGTGGTGATATTCCCATTGATGCCCAATTCAACATCGAAGAAGGGCAATTTCCTAATGTTTTTCAAACGCAGGAATCGCAAACTACGGAAAGAGTTGCTGAGGAAGTGCAAATCCGACCCCTGGTGGACGTATTAGAGGTCGGGGACGTAATGGTGGTGGCACTGGTGGCCGTGGAGGAGAGGCAAGCAGTAGTGCTAGTACAATTGTTGCAAGTTCTAAGAAGAAATGCAAGCGCACCTCAGCAGTTTGGGAGCACTTTAACACATTCGAGCAGGTCGACAATAATGGTAACATTAAATACATAGCTCAATGTAAATATTGTGGTGAGAAATTACAAGATAACACTATTCACGGCACTACACACTTAAAAAGACACTCTGAAAAGTGTCTTCAAAAGCAAGGAGGTGGAGCTAATCTCCGCCAAACACAATTATTGTTTGACCGCCAAACTGGCGGTCTAAGCACGTGGAAATACGATCCGCAAGTTGATCGTATGGAAATGGCACGATTAATAGCCACATTAGATCAACCACTAAGTTTTACTGAACAAAGAAATTGGCAGCGTTATATTGAAATTGTACATAATCCTAATGCACAAGTTTTTTCTAGAACTACTCTTAGGAAAGATACATTAAAATTATATAAACAAGAAAAGGAAACATTAATCAACCTTCTACACTCTACTAGTGGTTGCGTTGTGTTAACGGCGGATATTTGGTCCCCCGTTGCCAACAAAGATTATTTAGCTGTAACCGGACATTATTATAAAGGTTTTGATTTGGATAAAAGAATCTTAGGTTTCAAATGTGTTAGAGGATCACATACTGCCAATTTAATATATAACACAATTTTATATGTTATTGATGAATATAATTTAAGAGATAGAATAATGGCCATAACATTAGATAATGCAACTGCAAATACTAAAGCAATAGAACTTTTTGAAAATGATTTAGGTTTATTCGGTAATAATGATATATTTCACCAACATTGTGCATTCATATAATTAATTTAATAGTAAAATCTGGTTTAAAATCAATGTCAGGTCATATTAAAAGAATTAGAGATAACATTGCTTGGATTCAATGTAGTAATCAAAGAATACAAGATTGGTTTATATTTCTACAAGCATGTAATCAAAATCCTAGAGCATTAACCTTAAATATGCCCATAAGATGGAACTCCGCCTATATAATGCTTGAACAATGCATCCATGTATAAAGATGCTAAATTATGTTAGTGCAAAATTAGGACTAAGATTTATAGATGAAATTGATTGGCAAGTTTCCGAACTCTTGTATAACTTTTTAGGTAGATTTCACGAAGTTACCTTAAAGCTTAGTGGAACTTATTACCCAATGTCACCATTAGCGTTAGGAGAACTTTTAAGAATGTCTATTTTATTTAGTGAATTTAGGACACACGAGGTTTTAGGAGTTCCTATCGCCTCTATGGAAAAGAAGTTTAAGAAATATTGGTCTAAATTACCCATGTTGTATGGTTTCGGTGTTTTTTTTGACCCTAGATTAAAATTAGAAGGTTTAGAAAGTGGATTAGATAACTTAGGTGAATTTTTAGCTATAGACACTACTGACCAGTTTCCTATTATAAAGGAAAAAATATATTCTCTATATATCTCTTACGAAAGTAGGTTTAGAAACACACCTCGTGTTGAACAACCGCAACAACGAGACGACAATCCGCATTCATTCTTAAATGTTTTCGGGTTGTCTAAAAAGAAGAAGAAGACAACGACTCAAGGTCAAGAAGAATCTGGGAGTGGATCTTTGTCAAGAGGTGGCGGCAACAGCGGCGGATTCAACGAGTTAATGGCATACCTGAGTGAGGGCTTAGTTGTAGACAGTAGTGAAATGTTTGATTTGGTTCAGTGGTGGAGGGCACGAGCATTAACTTTGCCGATCATAACACGACTGGCAATGGGTATTTTTTCAATCCCGGTCTCCACTGTTGCAGCCGAACAAGCATTCAGTACAACCGGCCGAATACTTGAAGAACAGAGAAAGACATTGCAACAGGATATTGTTGAAGCTTTGGTGTGCATCAAGGATTGGGATCGTTCCGACCAACGCTTACACGATACAATCTCACCGGCAAGCCAAGAATGGATCGACGAGTTTAATAGATTAACTTTTAATTTTCAAGACGATCTTTCTGCTTTAAATTAAATTTTATTATTGTAATTTGTAAATATTTATTTACTTTGTAATTTCTAATTTGTATAGTGTTATTGTAATATTGTATAGACTTTGTAAGTTCGTTAAATTTGTAATTCGTCCTACAATGATTGCACTCTTTTTTCCTTACCAAGTTTTTATCCCAATTGGGTTTTTCTTGGTAAGGTTTTTAACGAGACAATCATAAATTACAAATTTAAAAATCAATGAAGAAATATTTTTTTTATATAGTTCGTGTGTTCATTTCAAATTTCAAATTGTACACATTATAATTGTACAAATATAAATTATACAATATAAAAATATAGTATAAAAAAAATTTTGAAAATTCGGGCAATCGGTCAGGCATCGGACAGCCCGACTGGGCACGGGCAACCACCTCCTGCCCGAAGCCCGTCCATGGTGAAATTCAAGTTGGGTTGGGCAACCCGAATTTTCAGGCAGTTCGGGTTCGGTATTCGGGCAAAAATTTAAACTTTTCAGTAGTCGCAGACGGCCCGTCCAAAATTTCAGCACTGTTTACTGCTATCCATTTTAAATAGATTTATTAATTTTTAAATTTTGTTACTATCGTTAATTGTTGTTTAATCAGGAAAACACGTCAAGACCAAGATCGACCACTGTGCATAATATTCACACCGTCAATCGGATCACATCTCAAATTCAATATTCATCAACCTCCGATCCAGGGGTAGTTTCGTAAAACCATTACCTAACGGCAAGGCACCACTGAGTCCCTCTCTTAACATTGAGATCTCTCTGTATTAAAACGCACCAAAAACCTCTCTTTCTCTCTCTACGTTTCTCTATCTCTCTCTCCCTGCCCCTCGCGCCCTCCTTCTCTGAGCTCGGATCACGTAGATCGCCTGGATTTCGTGGATTGCTTCTCCGCCAACTTTCAGTAATCTGCGAAAATGGTGAGTCCACGACCTGCGTTAGTCCTCAAGAACGCTATCGCGTCTAAGTATGTCTTAGATCTGGTTGAAATCCGCTCTGATTTGATACGAATTTCTCCTTATTAGACCAATTTCGTTGAATCTTAGCGAGATAGTTTGAATTGTTTATGCTCTGTTTGGTTGTCGGTAAATCACTTTTGTCCTCCATTATGTTTCTCCGCTGCCAAACGAAGCAATCCGTTGGTCGAATTTTGATGAGATCTGGCGTTAATGTTGGGAGTAGTTTGAACTACGCGAAAGTCTTCAGATTCTAAACTTTCATTTTGATTTCTGCCGGAAAGAAAGCTTTTTTCTCTTAGGAATGTGAATCAATTGAGATTTCTTATAGCTCTTCTTCTTTTTGGTTACGGCACTGACTAATTTAATTATCTTTGACTTTGCGATGTGTTAACAGCCTCTCAGACTTGAAATTAAGGTACTTGTTTGTTTCTTTTAGCTTCATTTCTATACGTTTGCCAGATCTCTATCCTTTAAAAGATCGTGATTGCATTTTGAATTTCATGGTGAGACTAATCGTCTTATGTCTTCTGTTGGCTCAGAGGAAACTTGCTCAGAGATCAGAGAGAGTAAAATCTGTGGATCTACATCCAACGGAACCATGGTAAGCCTGTGGTTTATTCATATTCTTCTACAATTTATTATGAGGGAAAGATCAATGATTTATGTGGTATTTTACTTAATTCACGAAAGTGATGAGTGCTTGGAGAATGGTGGTCACTATCGACATGTGTTAATCATGATTATCACTGCAGGATTTTGGCGAGTTTGTATTCTGGAACTGTTTGCATCTGGAATTACCAATCACAGGTATGTGGTAGCAAATAGCTAATAGTAATGATGACCTCAAATTTGCTGGATTATTAGTTTCTTCTCTTAAACGAGACTGTTGACCTTGTTTAATTAGCCTTTAGAAATTAGAAAAATTTTCGATAAAGTATTTCAGAAGCTGGCATCTAAAAACTAACTCGAATCTACTTGGCACTGCTGCAGACCATGGCTAAGTCTTTTGAGGTCACTGAGCTACCAGGTACATTTTACATGTCTAATACGTTCTTTTATTTTCTCTGTTCTTGTTTTGATGAGATGTTCTATGATATTTCACTGGCATCTTTTCCTGATATGACTACTCATTTTAATGTATCTGCAGTTAGGTCAGCCAAATTTATAGCACGCAAGCAATGGGTTGTAGCTGGAGCTGATGACATGTATATTCGTGTATACAATTATAACACAATGGATAAGGTTAAAGTCTATGAGGCGCACACAGACTACATAAGGTGTGTAGCGGTACATCCTACACTCCCATATGTGCTGTCGTCGTCTGATGATATGCTCATAAAGCTGTGGGATTGGGAAAAGGGTTGGGTTTGTACTCAGATTTTTGAAGGACATTCCCATTATGTAATGCAAGTGACATTTAATCCAAAAGACACCAACACATTTGCAAGTGCATCCCTTGATCGCACCATTAAGGTATACACAGGATTTTATGATGATAACTTGTATATAGCATGCGCTGTGTTATTGTGTCTAATGACACTAAATATGCTCTGGTTACGTGTTGCTTCCAGATATGGAATCTCGGATCCCCTGACCCAAATTTTACTTTGGATGCTCACCAAAAAGGAGTGAATTGTGTTGATTACTTTACAGGTGGTGATAAGCCTTATCTCATCACCGGTTCTGATGATCACACCGCGAAGGTCTTACTTAATTTTCCTATCTTCTTCTTCTTCTTCTTCTTCGATGATGTGGATTAATTCGCTATCATATGGAAGCAGGTATGGGATTATCAAACAAAAAGTTGTGTCCAGACGCTAGAGGGCCACACCCACAATGTTTCTGCTGTATGTTTTCATCCTGATCTTCCGATAATTATAACAGGATCTGAGGATGGAACAGTTCGAATATGGCACTCAACCACATATAGGTAGATTTTTATTTTTGTTCGAAATTTCCGAACTTCAATTGCCAATCTGTGGGTTCTGCTTTTCCCCCATTCAATTGGTTTGAGTTTGAGTCTAAAATTAATTTAAGTTTCACATTTACGTTGATCTTATAGAAGTAGCTTTTGGTGCATTTTGCAATTAATTGATAAGGTGTAAATTTACGTTAGTCTTATGGAAGTAGCTTTTGGTGCCTTTCACAAGTAATTGATAAGCTGTAAATAGTTGCTCATGTGAATATTCTAATGGTTTATTAGGCACTATGCCTTTTAACTCCTTTTGTGTTTGTGTGTGTGTGTGTAAATAATGCATCTATTACGGTTCATATGTGATGTACTGGTTTCAGTATTTTCATCTGTATATTGCTTGGTAGTATAATTTAGTTAACATTTTCTTAGTGACAATTAGTTTATGAAAAATAAGTTAACATCCTGGAACATGCTGTGTTGAAATGCTACCAAAGATTAAATATTGAATTGGATATGAAAACAAGACTTGCAAATAGATATGCGGATGGATATTCTAATGAATTTTTCCCCTCAAACATTCAAGATTTTGTACTTTCTGTCTTCGTTAAGAATTAGAGGATGATCGAGTCCATGTGTCCAAAGCTGATTATCAAATTTCCAGATTCTAAAACCCACTTTATTGAATTACAGGCTTGAGAACACATTGAATTATGGCCTAGAGAGAGTTTGGGCCATTGGATACATGAAAGGTTCACGCCGGTGAGTCTCTTATTTTCTTACTCTTATTTTCTTTTTTTGCCTCCTTTACTTTTCATTTTCTTTTCCCTTTTTAGTCTGTATTACTCAGGTGGCTTATGTCGTAGCACACCAGTGATATGCTGAGGTGGTTCATGATACTTAATACCGTTCCCCTTATCTAGTGGAATTTTCCATATTTTGTTTAAACCTAATAAGAAGGAAAACTTAAATCGTCTTATTTTTTATTTTACCACTCATTCATTTGAGATATCAGGATTTTGCTGATCTATATCTTTTAATAAAGTGTACTTATTGTGTTTTCTTTTTCTTGTCACCTTATACAGGGTTGTGATTGGTTATGATGAAGGGACCATAATGGTAAAACTTGGTCGTGAAGTACCTGTTGCCAGTATGGACAACAGTGGAAAAGTAATTTGGGCTAAGCATAATGAAATTCAGACAGTGAATATTAAGAGTGTTGGAGCAGATTCTGAGGTTTGAACTCATTTAGATGGACTCTTCTCAGCATCAAATGATATAAATGAGTGGTTTGTTCCCATTAGTTGATCTTTTGAGTTTGTCTTTTGCTTTGCTTATTAGGTTACTGATGGAGAGAGACTACCTTTGGCTGTTAAGGAGTTGGGTACCTGTGACCTTTACCCGCAGGTGAGATGGTACTCTTCAGTTGCAGCAAGAAGGAATAATAATATAAAAGTTGCCATTCTTCAGGATGTTCCAGATTTCCCTTTCATTTTTCTTATCTCTCTTTGTCTGTGTGTGTATGTGCAATAACTTCTTTTCTTCTTCTTCTTCTTCTTCGATTTATGATTTAAAAGTTACATTGTCAACTTGACAAGATTTGGAACTTTCAATCCCATTTTAAATGCATGGCCATTGACTTACGGGAAAAAAAGGATACTTTGATGACTATAATTTCTCTGACACTATTTCCTGTATTTTCATTTTCATGAACCCCTCTTTTGTCCCTTACAACTTTGAGAGTGAGAAGGGGGGTTGGGTTGGAGTAAGAAAAGAAAAAAAATTGAAGTATGTGTACACATTTAGGAGGGGATTTATGCGTCTCCAAGTGGAAATGTTAAGATATACGTTGTGCTTCGAAATTATGATTTTTTTTTGGTACTGTATATTGGTAGAGACCTTACTGTTTATAACTTCCATTTCAGAGCCTTAAGCACAACCCGAATGGAAGGTTTGTCGTTGTATGTGGAGATGGTGAGTATATTATATATACTGCTTTGGCGTGGAGAAATAGGTCATTTGGTTCGGCTTTGGAGTTTGTTTGGTCCTCCGATGGAGAATATGCTGTTAGAGAGAGTACCTCAAAGATTAAGATCTTCAGCAAAAACTTCCAGGTCTGTTTGCTAACTTTTTGTAGAACCCTTTTTTCGCTCGACAAGTGGTTAAATGGAAAGAAAACAAAAATTTACTTTTGTTTAGGTAAATTGTTTCTTCTAAGTCTCATAATTTATACGAGTATGACGCATTCTTATCAGAGTACAATTCCCTTTTGCTTTCTTGTTCTTCCCCTAATTATTTGTTTCCCCTTTGAATGTCTTGAAAGGCAACTGTGAGAGATTTGTTCTAGTGCTACTGCTGTTATTTTTGTATTTTCCATCATGTATCTGTATCTCCATCTTGGTTTTAGTTATGTTGGGTTCTTCAGTACTCTTTTGTATTGTCATGGATTTGTGGTTTAATTAGTAAAAATTTATCATTGATAAATATGGGACTGATTTTAACGGACATGACATGCTTCAGGAAAAGAAGAGTATTCGGCCTACCTTTTCAGCTGAGCATATTTATGGTGGGGTTTTATTGGCGATGTGCTCAAACGATTTTATTTGTTTTTATGATTGGGCTGAGTGCAGGTTGATTCGACGAATTGATGTCAATGTGAAAGTGAGCATTTTTACATACTCCAAGCACCTTCTTTTTTACATCTCTTTATTTATTGTAATTTCATTTTCTACATTTGAACTTTTCAGAATCTCTATTGGGCCGACAGCGGTGATTTGGTGGCTATTGCCAGTGATACATCCTTCTACATCCTGAAGTACAATGTAAGGGGCTTTTATATTTGCGTAGGACGCTTATTATTTTAACAATTATTATTTTATTTTATTTTTTCACTTATGTGTTGTATGCGTGCCCTTCTCTTCTCCAATGCTTACTGAGATGAAATTTCATTTTTCATATTGCAGCGTGACATAGTATCTTCTTACTTGGATAGTGGAAGACCTGCAGATGAACTAGGTGTTGAGGATGCCTTTGAGGTTCTTCATGAAATGAATGAACGTGTCAGGACTGGTATATGGGTTGGGGATTGTTTCATTTACAACAACTCCTCATGGAGGCTCAACTACTGCGTTGGTGGTGAGGTACTGCATAATTCATCCTTTGGAATATTTTTCCCAACCAAAACTTGTTCACTCTCTTGAACTTGATAACAACATCAATGTTTTATGCTGGATTTTTAATTTTAGGTAACCACAATGTTCCACTTGGACCGGCCTATGTATTTGTTGGGGTATCTTGCAAGCCAAAGTCGGGTGTATCTGATTGACAAAGAGTTCAAGTGAGCATGGCTTCAGTTTTGTGGTTAAAAGGTTATGGCAGTAATCTTCATTGCTTAGTGATTTATGCTTTTTCTTCCCC